GAGATCATACTGAAGTAGGGTAAGCCTTTTCTTCAGTTGACTGGTGTTGTTACAAGGAGAGAAGAGAGAAAGAGACAGGGACACACAGGGAGAATTCCAAGTGATGACAGAAGCGGAAATTGAACTGATGTGTCTACATGCTAAAGAATGTCAAGGATGACCCATTCTTTGGTCCAGCAAGGACCAAAACTAAAAAGACACAAGAAACAGATTCTCCTTCAGAACCCCCAGAAGGAACCAACTGCGCCCGCATCTTGATTTTAGAATTCTAGCCTCCAGAACTGTGAGATAATAAATTTGTGTTCTAAAACACTCAGTGGTGGTACCTTGTTACAGCAGCCCTAGAAAACTTTGCATATGAATTGCATTTTTGTCTAACATTTCAGATACGTGATATGGCTGGCTGAATAGGCATTAACAACGAGGTATGACCCTTCTGATTATTTTTCCCTAAATAACATTTTATTTTAATTCATTGAAGAGCATTGCATTAGTAATCTAAATTCTAGACGTCTATAAACATCGTCCGAAAAAAATAGCAGTATGTCAGTAATACACAATTTTTAGAAAATGTATCAGCCTTGAAATGAAACACAGCTGCTAAAATAGTCTCATTTTTCTCCTCGCTCTAGTTTTAGAAGCAGTAAAGTGGTTAGGGTTTGCCTTAATAGACCATCAGGGTTCAAATCCTGATTCTGCTACTTCCTAGCTACTGTATGTGACCTTGGAGAAGTTACTTAAATCTCTCACTTCGGTTGTCCAAATAATCAAAGCATTGATCTCTCAGGGTTGTTGGGTTAATTAAAAGAATTAATACGTGTCAAGGTCTCAGATGGTGATTGGCGCATAAAGAATGTTTGTGTTCTCCCAAAACTCATGTGTTGAAATCCTGATTCTTAAGGTGACACTATTAAGAGTTAGGGATGTGGGGGGAGGGTGATTGGGTTATAAGGGCAGGGTTCTCAGATCAGAATTACTGTCCTTATACAAGAGACAATAGGATACTAGCTAGTTCCCTCCTTCCACTGTGTGAAGACTTGGCAAGAAGACTCTCTTCTATGAAGCAGGAAACAGGAACTTCCTAGACCAGTGGTTCTCAACCTTTGCGACCCACTGCTGTCCTAGATAGTGAATCTATAGACACCCTGATCTTGAAGTTTCCAGACTCCAGAACTGTGAGCAATACACTTCCACCATTTTTAAGCTAAACCATTTATGGTATTTTATTAAAGCAGCCTGAATGGACTGAGCTATTCAACATGCTACAGGGTAGTCTCTTGCTTTTCAGTGCTTCAAACCCACTGGCATAGTGGTTGCATAAAGCGACTATGACAATAAAATAAATCTGATTGACAAAGCAACTTACCTGCTCGAAAACATGATGTGGTCCTCCATTGCATACATGAAAATGTTAAACATTGTCCCGACACAGGCCCCATATGACTTCCTTCTTTTTTTCTCCCCCACTTTGTAGGTACTGAAATTTCAGCCTCTCTTAAAACCCAGCTCATATTTTATCCTCTACTGATAAATCTTCCCATATCACCTAGATCAGACTTATTCTCTCTCCCTCTCCCATCTTCCCATAGCTTAGGGTGAAGCTCTTAAACACAGCAGCATGCCTAAGAATTATTTGTGCATGCTATGCCCCCTTTGATAGATTTTGACTTCCAGCAGGGCAGGGCTTGTATCTTTTCAACTGTGTATCCCCCACATTACCCAAAAGAGAATTTTACACTTAGTAGATACTCAATAAATGGTTGTTAAACTTGGTTGAACTCATATTTTTTTTTTCTTTGTGGCAGATGCCCTAAGAAAAGCATAAAATAAATGAATTACTTTTCTTCTTTCCATTGCAATATATATGCCCTGGGCTAGTGGGTATTTGCAAGCCTGGTTTAGAACTTAGGGAAGTCATCAATCTAAAAAAGGAGAGGAAATGCATTTTAAATCACAAGAGCAATATAGCCTTATATAAAGCCTTCTAGCAAAACAATTATCGATGGCTCAATAACCCAGGTGCTAGTGTTATTATGAACAAAAGTCTGAGGTTGAGAGACAATGAGTGATCTTAACTTTTATATTCCATAGGTACACAATTCAATGAAACACGTACAGATGGAAAGTTTAGATCTGAGAATCATATGTGGGTATCATAATGCAAATAATTGGCTTTCTTTCTAAAGAACATCTGTTGAAACATCTGAAAGCAGTTGTTTATTCTGCTGCCAAAACGCTGAAAAATATAATAATTCTCCAATGAGGTTAGAAATATCCGGAGGAAGAAAAATCCTTTTTATGTAGTCCCACTTTTATTAAATTTTGTTGTTTCTCTAATATGGCACATAGGAGATGCTTGATAATATTTGTTGAATGAATGTTGAATGAATAGCAGAAACTCATTAAACAGTTGTTGAATGAATCATTTCTTCTTGTTTCAGAGTTATAAGACGCATTTTCAGAAAATAGCATGCTTGAGTTTTACCACATTATATTACTACTTTTATTTGGCATCAATTTAAGTAATGCTTCTCTTTCTCTGAACATTATAAGATGTAATCGGCTTGTGTATCTATGAGAAAAAGTACCTTTACACTAGAGAAAATGTTTGAATAAACCTAGATGTATGATTGCAATGTTTTGATATTTTGATACGTTACTTTTATTTATTATTCTGAAACACTTGAAATTTGAATTGTAGGCTTGCATAATCATGTTTGCCTCAACACACAAAATTTAAAAATCCTGCTAATATAGTTGTGGCATCTCTAAGAAGATTCTAATTTAAAAGCATCAAAATGTTTGGGGATATGAAAAAGACCGCAGAAGATGAAGAAGTCATTTCTTCCCAGACCTCCTTTCTGGAATTCCCAGCAGCCTTCTCTTCTGTACTCCTGAGTAAGTGAGGTGACTGGGCTCCCCAAAGGCTGCCTAAATTTTACTCGGCCAAGTTTCAGTACAGAAAGAGCATGTTAAATAATAAATGTGAAGTTGAGTGTAACTAATAAAATTGGAATGTTAAATAGAAGCCTGCTTTTGAAAACCAGCCTCCTTGTGAGGCAGCTCCCTGTGCAAGTTCATGGGAAATAATTCTAAAGGGAGTGATATTAATTAGTAATATAATTTATCTTCTGGAAGCCCTTTCCTTTGATGACCGCTGTGGTACAGTTTATAAGCCTCCAAACAAGTGCTCAAAGAAAATGGTGCAAACCACAATTTTAGATTTGTTTTCCATCCGTAAACAGATAAAAAAAATCACAGATTACTGCAGCATATCTAAATTTTCCATGTTCTTCTCAGTGATGGAAAATTGTGAAGTTATAAAAATGCATCGGTGAAAATTTTCAATGAAATGATAACATATCAGTTATTTAATAAGAGGAAAAAAAAAGAGAACAGAATCCCAAATCAAATTCATGGCTTCTGATCCCAGATTTCTTGGTTTCGGTTCTTGCTGCCACATCCTAGATACGCAATTTTGGGCAGATATTAATTTGTTCTGTGCCTCAGTTTCCTCAACTACACTATGAAGATAATAGTAAAAATCATCTCAAAAGGAGATCGAGTGTTTAGAATTGTGCTGGCAAATAACCAATAACAAATTATTATTTATCCACAATAATTTCAAGTTTATAAAAGAACAATGAAGGGTGAGGAAGATTACCTGGAAGGCAAGAGCTAAACAGATGATATTTGCTTATAAATGATATGCTTACAGGAAATTCTTTGCGGTTTTCTACACTTTTTAGTATGTAGTCTTTTATAATAAAGTTTAAAAAGTAAGTTTTATGAATCCTTGGGGTGGTGGAAATTAAAGGTGGAAATCCGGGATAGGTTAAAATTTATAACTGATTATACTCCAGCATTAATTAAATATTAATTAAGCCTATTGTGCTGTGACAGAATTTGCATTTATCTTATCTTATTTAATTCTAATTCCATTCTAACAAGAAAATACTTTTTAAAGTTTAACCAATGTCAATTTTACGTTCAGAAATAAAGTCAAATTTTATTAAAATGTCAATATTTCGACCTACTAAAACTAAAACTATTTTAATTTTCGATTTAAAAAAATCCCACGCAAAAGTCCCAAAGGTGCCTTTCATGTTTAAGCTTTAATTAGCAACCACTTTGGTCTCTGACACATACCGCGCAGATATTGAAGTGTTAATATTACCACAGCTTGATTACAAAAGGCAGTGATTAATTTTAAAGCAGACAAAAAAGATATGCCCTGATTACAAAGGAATGATTAAGGCGGAATGTCAGACATTGCACATTTATAGCAGTCTTTGCCATCGTCAAAGGATAAGACTTTGCAAAAGTTTATATTTAGAATTCCGGGTACTTTGTACTTTAGCATGCCCTGGTATTTGTGCCTTGGAGGCCGAGCACCCTAACGCTGATAGAACTTCAGACCCTGGAGGGTCGCAAAGCTCGAGCGAATCGCCCCACGCGGGATGGGCGCAACGGGCCTCCGTAGCTCAGTTCTCGCGGACCAGAAGGGCCTGAGGTGTGGGCCTGAGGTGCGGGCCGAGGCTTCGTGAAGGTTTCTGGCCTGAGGTATTGTTAGGGAGTGCCTGTTTGCAGAGAGATCAGAGCATTTTGAAGACCTTATCCCTAAAAGGGCAGGGGACTAGGATTAAAACGCTGGCCACAAAAGGGCTGCTCCTCAGACCCCCGCCAAGCCCCGGGGCCTCCATTTTTATTTGCACCAGAGCAAAAAACCAACCGTGAGGGAGGCTGAGGCCAGAGGAGCTGCCTTCCTCCCGGGAGAAAGGCCAAGCTTGGAACTGTCTCAGGACGTGAGGGAGAAAAGCGGGGTTTTGTTAATTGTAGCAGGGAAAAAACAAGGGCCGAGCGCGGGAAGGGCCGTGGCCAGCGGTCCCTGGACCCCGGGCCAAGTCGGGCTCTGTCCTTGGTGCGGGCAGGTGACAGGAACTTGGAGGCTGGTCTATCTGAGAGTAGTCCTAGAAGAATCCTTCCTTACTGTGCTTTCCAGGATCTTCAGGCTTGGTTATAAAATATTCAGCGGTGAGAAAAGGATCCGCAGGAGCCCGGGCCTGAGATGAGCTTAGAGTCCTTGTTTCAGCACATCATCTTCACCGAGCATCAGGCGGAGGAGAGTCGCCGTTTGATTCGAGAAGGTCTGGGGGTTTCTGTCCCTTCCTTGGGGCCTTTTGCCTTTAGGAGCTGGGTATTTGAAGCAGAAGGAAACCCCAGAGGTCAGAGCAGTTAGGGGAAGCTTGCTTGCCATTTTGAGGGAAAGCCAGCTGACAGGTGCCTTATCAAATGCTACCCAAATGGGACGTTAGATAGATGTATTTAAAGATTTAATTTGTATTACAGGAAGATCGGAAATAACTCGATGTCGTGAAAAAATTAAGAAAGCAACAGAAACGCTGAATGAAGAGAAAATCAAGTTGGAATCTAAGGTATTGACATGGAGAGCATATTAATTGTCGCTTGAAAAAGTCTATGTTAACTTGGCGGGGAGGTATTTCACTCTTTCATCATTATCCTGAAAGTAGAAAACAAGCTATTTCTATGCTGGTAAGTGTAGTTTCATGTTACCTGGTAATATTTAAATTTCCAAATCTAGCGACACCTTCAATTCTATTATGAGTTTGCTCTAGAAAACTAGTTAGAGTAGTGAAGAATTTGTTGTCTGTTTTGTGGGATGCTTAAGATTTTAAAAGCGCAATTGTTAATTGGAAGAAAAATTATTCTACTTATTCAATAAGTAGTTGGTACAGTATATACATTTTGAATATAAATAATTTAAGTGTGCTATGTTGATGCAGGGATTGAATGTAATTTTCAAATGAACCTCTGTCTTTTGTTTTTTACTTCTTGCCACATTGTGGACATGTCTTTCATCTAAAAGTATACTTTTTCCACTTGCATTTCTCTTGTATCTGCAGCATTTTTAAATTTACGTTATTCTAAATAGAAGTGGGAGAGTCTGATGGCTTCTCGTAGGGGGACTTGAAGGGTGGATAGTGTTTTGGAGAGGCAAAGAAAAGTAACAGAAAAACATTCCAAAGAAAGGGAAAAGGCTGATATGCCCAAGGCATATTACAAGAGGACTCTAGTCAAAATAGAAGGCTGATATCTGGAAATAGTAAGAAACCATTGTGGGTTTTCTATCAGGGAGCAGTGTGACAAAAGTGGTTTTAGATAGCTGTTGTGCTGTGATGTGCGCCTTTAGTCCCATCTACTTGGGATGCTGAACTGGGAGGATGGCTTGAGTCCAGGAGTTTGAGGCCAGCCTGAGTAACATAGGGAGATGCTGTCTCTACCAAAAAAGAAAAAAAAAAAAAGGAGTAGCTTAGGAAGATCATTCTGAGCTCTGATGGGGAGGATGAGAACAGATGAGAAGCTAAGAATATAATTTAAATGTGTCGTGATGAGGGCCTCGCTATGGATGGGTGGAGGCAGACAGTTTTTTAAAAATATTGATTCAATATTCAGAGTACTAAAGAAGCAATGTGCAGTTCAGACTCATTGAGGAAGTCTGTTTACTTTCAGATATGTCTTTTTAAATTTACCACTGTGAGGAATTTCAGGGGGGTTTGGGTGAATAAATTATAGAACCCTTTTCCACCTGGTGAGCTTCAGGTCTTTTCTCTAGGTCTTCATCAAAAATTACTCGTGGAAATCTTGGTAAAAACTTTTTTTTTTATTAAATACCAATACTACTTGTGTTTGTATCCCCCATAAGGAACATTTCTAGAATTTTTTTTTATCTTCCCACTGCCTGTATTAAATACCTAGCACACAGTATACATTAGGGTATTAAATGAATTGAGTACTAATAGTGTGATAGATGAAAGGGAGAGACTTTTAAAATAGAATTTGGAATTGCTTTTCAGTGAGATCCAGGCTCTTATTTTGACTGTGAGTAGCAGATAAAGTTACTGCTACGAACAATGCTAAAAGCCGGTGGGATATTCGGAGCATTAAAAATAACATGAAGTAGCTTGCTTTTTTTTTTTTTTTAAAATAATTTAGACCCATGACAGTATTAATGTACACAGCTATGATTTAATAAAAAAAAAATAATTAAGATACTTTCAGTCTTGGTAACTAAAGCTAATAGAAGTAATAGGTAAACTGTGAGCACTTAGTAAATGGTGGGCACAGTTCTACCATGTTTCCCCGAAAATAAGACCTACCCCCAAAATAAGCCCTAGCAGGATTTCTATGCATTGTAAAGTATAAGCCCTACCCCATAATAAGACCTAGTGATGGGCGTGGCTATGCAGTGTATCTGCATAGCCATTCCATCATTTCGGTGCGGAGACATCCCTGAAAATAAGCCCTAGTGTGTCTTCTTGTGAAAAAATAAATATAAGACAGCGTCTTATTTTTGGGGAAACACGGTAAGTACTTCACTTATATTATATTAACTTCTTTGGTCCTAACTGGAATTTTGTTATGAGACACCATCATTATCTCCTCATTAGACATGAGGAAACTGAGAGGTTAAAGGACTTGTCCTTGACACATAGTTAAAAAACAAACTACTGTAATGAAAGTAGAAGTTGGTTAATGACAGCATGTTTTATTACAGCAGAATTCTTTTTTTTTTTTTTTTTTTTTTGAGACAGAGCCTCAAGCTATTGCCCTTGGTAGAGCGCTATGGCATCACAGCTCATAGCAACCTCCAACTCCTGGGCTCAAGCAATTCTCCTGACTCCACCTCCCAAGTAGCTGGGTCTGCAGTCTCTTGCCACAACACTGCTATTTTTTGGTTGCAGCCATCATTGTTGTTTGGCAGGCCAGGGCTGGATTGGGACCCTCCAGCTCAGGTATATGTGGCTGGTGCTTTAGCCGCTTGAGCCACAGGCACTGAGCCTACAGCAGAATTCTTGAGCTCATCTCAATCTTTCTTCTTCATGAAATTCATGTATAATAATGTATCTGAAGCTTTGCATCTAGTTTAGGGCAATACACATTTTTAAAAGGTCACTTGTATAAGTTTTGTACAAAATACATTTTTCCTGGATTAGTGAAGACATTGACCTGACAGATAATAAATTTTTGAAAGAAAGCTTATTCTTTGTAATATTTTTTTGTTAGCAGCCTGTTTTGTCTGAAAATGGAATTGTAATTTGTTGACATATACAACAAGTTACACATATTCTAAAAAAAGAACATTGATTCAGTTGTTTGCACTAGAGAGAAGACAGAGAAAATCCCTAACATTGTTTAGAAACATTTGCTGAAATTACTAATTAATAAAGGCTCACAAATGTGCATTGCTTTTTAATCACCTCATATACATGGGTAATAATACATGTGTATCTTACTAATAAAATTAACATATGAGGTTCACAGTTCATACAATACTAATGTAGTTGAAGTAATTTGATTTATAATTATAGTCAAGATGGTGTGTGTGTGTGTGTGTGTGTATAAAGATTTTAAAAGTGGAACCACAATTATAATGTAAATGACTAATGGGAAGAACTAAAGAAGTAATCATAAATTGATTTCTTGTTTCTTTTAGTCTCAGAGTTAATTATATGTCTGCCAATAACAATGAAAATATATTTACTTGAATATTTAACTTGGCATTTATTGACCCATTTATCAAGTGCAAGTAGCATAAGGAGAAAGAACATAATTTGAATAGAGCAGTGCTTGAGTTATTGTACAGTGATACATTCAGAAAATATTTTGGGCATTTATTTTGGTCAAAAATGTACTTAGTAAGTACAGTATTCATTTTTTTTTTCTGTTCTCTAAAACCCAGGTAGCATGTAATTAGAACTTGAATGATAGCATTTGCCTTTCAGGGCTCAATGAGTCCTTTAAAATATATGGTTACAGAAGTCTCAGATTATCCAGTATTAGTACTTTGTGAATTGGACAGCTACAGTATGCCTGGTTAGGTTTGGTAATATGAAAATAGAAAGATGAGAACATGCCCTGGATTTGCATTAATGCTTACCAATATACTGAAAGCTTCTGATAGTCACAGAAAGGTTTTATAGTATTGGTGATCCAGCAGGCCACACATAAGGACTCACAGGACAATTGTAGTTTCTTTTAAGCATCTAAAAGATGTTCTGTTTTAAAAAATGGCATATAATTAAAATTTGGGCATTTAATTTTTATAAGAATCTTCCATAAAACCCAATATAATGCCATATTCCCTGAGGAGGGAGTAAATGAAGAAAAATCAGAAGCTATTTTGCGAATATTTTGTTTATTTTTTCTTTTTCCAATTTTAACTTATTGCATAACATTATAACAATAAAAGAATATTTCATGAATTTTTAAAGGAAAATTGTATTGAAATAAAAAAGTAACTTAAGGTGGCTTCGTTTACTTTTCTTCAAAATGTACATATTCCTTTCTCTTAATTGGTATAAGTTCAGAACCTTCTCAGAACAGTAGGCAAAGTCATATCCCTTAGTTCTGTATTACCTAATTAGAGAAAGAACAAAACCACAAATTATTATCATTTATAAAACTGAAATAGAGTATGTAATCAAGGTGTATTGTTTTGTTTCTTTATGTTTTACCAAAGAAAAATTTATATCCTACCTAAATTTAATGTTATTGTTGATTAAAAATGACTTTAAAACATGGATTTAAAAAAGGCATTATTTTTCCTCTCTTATTAACATTTGTTTAAATAGCATGTGAATTATTTAATCTTAATTATAGAAAATAATATGTAAATTCTGTTTATCAAAAGTTAATATATACCTACATTTCCATTAATTATGACCAAGACAGTTTGGGAGGTACTTACACTTTGTTGCTTGTAATCTTTATGTATTTGCATGACATTTCTTCAACCCATTTGTTTTAACATGTTCTAAGTCCCTGAAGAAGTAGAAAGGGGTGGGATCCAGAACATAAGGAAAGAAGTAGACTTAGACAAGAGGAGGAATGCCTCTTGCATTGTAAAAATAATGGGTAGTTACTGTAACTACCTAAAAATAATAGGTAGTTACTATATATCATGCCTGTGCATTTTACAAACCTTCTCAAATCTTGCAAGAACCCTGTGAAGTTAGTATTATTGTTACTCCCATTATGGATGTGAGCAAAATTGAGAATCAAAGAAATTAAGTAACTTGCACAGGACCACATAAATGGTAGTAAATAGTAGATCTAAGATTCACATCTGTATTGGTAGACTAGAGAGCTCTCACTCTTAACCATTCAACTATAGCAAGAGCAAGGAAGAAGAAAAGGATGCAAGTAGATACAGGTGCTAAAGATTCAGTGACAGGAAATTAAAGACATGATTCACTAGAAGTAGTTTCCTTGCTTTATTATGTCAATGAATTTGATATGTATGTGTCATATGTCTTTAAAGAAGAGTAAGAAAGAATATTTGTTCCTCTGCTTTATCAGCTGGGTAGCATTATGCAAGTGAGATAATACTGTTAGTTTGGAAAGATTTTCCTAT